GGGCTTTATGAAAAATTCTGCCAAGGTATCAGTTGCTAATGGACATGGAATTTCCCTGTTTTCTTCACTTTTCAATTATTGGCCAACTGTTTACAGTTGTATTGTTTCTCTAAGCCTTATGGGCAAGATGGCAAGCTCTTCCCCACAATGATATTAAGTAAAATGGTCAACTTTCACTGTAGACATAAAAAAGAATGAGAGACCAAAGTCCTACTGGGGAAAATCATGTCAGACAATTGTGCAAGCAATTTCTCTCGTCATCTATCTCAAGTGCATTTGCTCTTTCCCCTGTATGTTGGAGAGTGTGATGGATAGCTGCTAACAGGGTAGAACTAGCTGTGTGATTGTCCTTAAATGATTGTGTAGGGTAACAGGATTCGGCTCTTGGAATCTAGATCACAGATAGGAATTACATAGCCCAGAAGCCTAATGTGTTCCCCAAGGCCATTTTTTCACCTGCCTGGAACATGGTCCTTTAATCATCCAAGGATGCCCACCCAGATTTAAAATCACAGAATCATAGAAAAGTGAAGTTGGAAGGGGCCTACAAGGCCATCAAGTCCAACCTCCTTCTCAATGCAGGAATAGAATTAGAGCATATCTGCCAGGTGATAATCTCAGTTGTTCTTGAATGCCTCCAGTGTTGGAGCACTCTCAAGGTAACTCCCAAGGTAACTGGTTCCACTGTCCTACTGCTCTAACAGTTAAGAAGTTTTTCCTGATATTCAACTGAAATCCGCCTTCCTTTAATTTGAGCCTACTGTTGCGTGTCCTGCTCTCTGGGATGACTGAGAACAGATCTTACCCCTCCTCTGTATGATAGCCTTTCAAATATTTGAAAAGCGCTATCATAACACCCCTCATTCTTCTTTCCTCAAGGCTAAACATGCCCAGTTCCTTCAGCCTTTCCTCGTAAGGCTTGGTTTCCAGCCCCTTGATCATCCTTGTTGCCCCCCTCCCGAACTTGTTCCAATTTCTTAGCATCCTTCTTTAAGTGTGGTGTCCACAACTGAACACAACACTCAAGGTCAGGCCTAACCAGTGCTGAATAGAGGGGGACTAACACCTCGCAGGATGTGGAAACTTCTATTAAATGCAGCCAAAAATAGCATTTGCCTTTTTTTGTAGCCACATCACACTATTGGCTCATTTTTAGCTTGTGATCTACGACAATTCCAAGATCCTTCTTGCTTGTAGTTTTGTTGAGCGAGGTATCCCCCATCTTGTAACTATGCAATTGGTTTCTGTTTCCGAGGTGCAGTACATTGCACTTATCCCTGCTGAATTTCATTCTGTTGCTTTTAGCCCAGTGCTCCATCCTATCAAGGTCATTTTGAGTTTTGTTTCTGTCTTCTAGGATATTAGCTATTCCACCCAATTTAGTATCAACTGCAAATTTGACAAGCATTCCCCACATTCCCTCATTCAAATCATTAATAAAAAATATTGAACAGCATCAGGTACCCCAAGGACTGAGCCTTGGGGTACCCCACTAGTTACCTCTTCACAGTTAGAGAAGGACCCATTAATCATCACTCTTTGAATACCGTTCTGTAGCCAATTGCGATTCCACCTGACCCTTGATCTATCCAGCCCACACCTAGTTATCTTGTTAATCAGAAGATCATGGTCAAAAGCTATGCTGAAGATACTTGATCAAAAAATAAGATCAAATTAGTTTGGCAGGATTTATTCTTGACAAATCCATGTTGGCTTCTAGTTATTATTGCATTGTTTTCTAGATGCTTGCACAATGACCACTTTATGGTCTGTTCCAGAATGTTACCTGGGATTGACGTCAGGCTGACTGTCCTGTAGTTCCCAGGTTCCTCTTTTTTTCCCCCTTTTTGAAAATAGGGACAACATTGGCCCGTCTTCAGTCCTCTGGCACTTCACTCATTTCTCATGATTTCAAGAAAATAATGGATAGTAGTTCTGAGAGTTCTTCAGCCAGTTCCTTCAGTACTCTCAGATGCAGTACATCTTGTTGATCTCGTTCAAGGTGGTAAGGGTATTCCTTGACTATTTGTTTATCTATCTCCAGCTGCAATCCTGTCCCCCCCCCCTTGCACTTTCAATTTGTTTGGAGGTTCATAGTGTGTCTTATGGGAAAAGACAGAACTAAACTAGGAATTGAGCAACTCTGCCTTTTCTTTGTCATGTTATCATTTTTCCATTTCCATTGCAGAGCTGTGCCACTATGCCTTCTGTTTGTCTTTTGCTACCCACATACCTGAAGAATGCTTTTTTAAATTGCTTTTAGTATCTCTAGCTAACCTCAGCTCTCCTAATGCCATCCCTGCATTTCCTTGCTACTTGTCTGTACTCATCCTTGGTGGCTTGGCCTTCTTTCCATTTCCTGCACATCTCTTTTTTGGTTTTTAGGTGCCCCCTGAGTTTTTTGTGAAGACACACTGGCCTTTTTTGCTGCCTCCCACCTTTTTTTCTTTTTGGAATTGTTTGTAGTTGTGCCTTTAGCATTTCTGTTTTTGGAAGCTCCCACCCTTCTTGGACTCCTTTTCTTGTTAGGCTCTCCTGCCATGGGACCTTACTTAGCCTTGTTCTCAGATTATTAAAATTGGCTTTTTAAAAATCCAGCATATGTGTGTGGCTACATCCTGCTTTCATTTCCTTTGAATTTAGAAAAGGTAAAAAAATATAGCCCCTGTTTAGCAGGCAGGTAGCAAGAAGGGCAGTACATACATGATCTAGAACTTTATGACTCTCAGAGGTAGTCACTGTAACTGTGACAAGTCAGAAGTGCTTGACGTGCAACCCGCAAACTTTCCTCATGTCTAGGATCAATGCGCTACTGACTCTGTATCTCCTGGGGTAAAACCTGATGCCATCATCCGTCAAATATATTCTTCATGTTTCATTCTGGAATTTCTTTTTGAGATTCCATGTCTACCCATGTTTACCTTCTCATTCCCTATGAAGGTCTGAAATGCCCCACCTAATAAAGAACATGTCCTCTGAATACAGTGACCACTTCAAAGAATGCATAATAAAGAAACTCTGCACTGACATTTTTTCATATTGCTATGCCTTCTTTACAGATATATGAACAGAATACTCTATAATAAAAGATAAATAAAAGGCTATAATATTTCCTTTACTTGTAAGCCAAATTACACACTGTATTTATGTACTTATCCCACCCACCCCCCCACACACATCTTTTCTATGAAAAACAAACATAAAAAGGCTGCAAATTGCAGTAGAAGAAGACTGTGGTGGGAGAGTTGCTTAATTGTCATCCTGCTGGCTGTTCTGTACAAAATCACTCTCCACAAGCTTATCAAGCTCCTCATAAAAGCACTCTCCACAAGTCTGTATCTTTTCTTTTGAGGGGAGAAAAGTAATTTTGAGAGTAGGGATATGGGTTTCCTGTGTGTGATACACATAACCATTCAGTCCTCTCAACAAGCTGAACATAGCATCTTAGAATAGACCAAAAATTTAAGGAAGAGAAAAAAGTTAAGTACTGTAGCTTCCCCTAACATATTCATGTACAAGACTGCAACCTTACGCAACTTTTCCTTTTTTTAAAAAAATTAAGACGTTAGAAAGAACTAAGTGTCAATGCATAGCTAATGTCTATAACCTCAACATTATTTCAGGAAACCTTTTATTATATTAAATCTATATATCTAATGGACAACAGCTCTATCCTAACTGAAATCCTATTACTTAGTACAGTAATTTGTAACTAGGGTAGGTCCACTGAAATCAGTGAGGATCTCGTGCATCAACTTCTCCATAGGTTCTACTGATTCAATGGGCCAAATCAAGTTGCAGCATACTACCTTGAGCAACAGGATTGCAGCCATTTATTTCAATGTCATTTGGAAGAAAAAATGCTTTATAACTATAGTCTCTCTGTATTACAGTTCTACTTGCTTTTGAATAATTCAAATGAACTTAAACTATTTCAAAACATTTGATCTTGCAAATGAAAAACTATCCATTGACATGTTTCTCAACATAATAATTTGGTCAAACCAGATGTGGCAACTGAAATATAGCAATGTTTATTGGCATTCAAGAATATTATTGTATTGAGCCATTGGAATATTTGTTGGGAAATGTCTATGCATTTACAATTTGACGTGTGTTTCAGGACAAACTTCCTAAATATAATGTGTTAAGACTGGCTGTAAATATTGTCCTATTTAGTGATCAATAGACTGTCACTATAGATATCAATGGAGTCCAGCACTCATTCAAAGTCTCGCAAGGTATCCAGAGAAGTCCACTGGTCAATAGACTCTTTCCCCCTCCCTTCCTTGCAGCCCTCTGAGAACTACTAAAGATTCCTCTTGTGTGGGTTCCATTTTGAAAGCCATTTCATGGAAGAAGGAGAGAAAGAAAAGAAAAATGAAATGTTCTAGATTCATTATGAATGAGGATCACATGCGCTTTTGCAAGCAGAGTTGACAACTGAGTTTTGATACTCAGCCAACATAGAAAACATATCTATTGGCCACTGTATCGTCAATACATAAAGAAATAGTTTCTTCTTACCTGCAAAGAAATATTTGACTAAAGGAAATCCTCATTAACGGTTAAGACATACAACTTTTACTTACTAATGTCAGCATTAATAATATAAATTCATATCCACCATCCCAGCCCTTTCCCCTTCATATTAACCACATAGACTACCATGACACAGACAGTTCCAATGCTTACTATTTGTTATCTTTTTAAAAATAGTATAGTATCTTAAAATAAACTTTAATGTTCTAAAAGAAAGAGTTGTACATTTTTAGTAATTTGTTTCTTTCACAATGTTCCACAAGTCTTATATTTGACAGCAAACATTTGGTATCCCAAGTGCTTAAACAACAAGGCTCATTTCAGCTAATCTGTGTATTTCAAGAAATGCTACAGAGAAAATTTACAGTTAAATTTTTACAAATATATTCTGGAGGCCAACTAAAGCAGAAAATGAAGAACCCGAGATATTTGAGGTTTGGAAATAATTAAAATTTTACCTTTGCCAAGTAATTCCCAATGTATCCTCATTGGCACTGGGGTATAAATGCCTGCCGTTTTGATTCATGGTCCAGTCACAAATCCTCAGCTGTCAATTGAAACCTAGCAGTCAGATATGGATCGAGCAGTACTACAGTTTTTAGTATTTAAATGAATGCATGCAAAGTAGCACTTAACATGGCACAAACCTTATATCCCCAAGTAACAGAGCAAAAACAAAAACAATTTTAAAAACAAAATCTGAACTTATACTGTGCAAAACAAAATATTTTTTTCTACATCAAGAAAATCAAGAAATACTATTTAAATGTGCTTGTAAAAGCATAAAAGAGAACCTGATATTTAGCAATTAATTATATTATAAATTGAGCTGAAAAATAGAGATGTTAATGTTCAATAGTGATATTTTAAAAAGAAAAACACTTAAAATTATTCAATGTGCTAAGAAAAAAAGGATTAAAAACATTTTCTTGAAAGCATGCATTTGATGATACATATGTTACATGCAACTTATAGGAAAGAAGATCCAAAATTACATGGCTTTATCTTACTATAAGGGCAAAGGCATTTTGTATTAGAGGTTGATTAATTTAGGGTTACCAAATATGGCATTGCTTACATGCAGTAGTAAACTAATCTGGTTCTAGACTCAAATTAATAGCATTTAAAAGAATTTAAATACAATGGAGAATGCTTGCTGAAACAAATTCTTCTCAGATCACCGAATCATCAATACTGCTCTTCACAGAATTATAAATGTAACCCTATACAGCTGTTTGTAAGCAGCTGCCCTGCAGTGCTAGCAAATTTCCTGAAAAGATACACTGATTATTTTTATGCTTGAGAAAATGAGCCCCATCCAATCTTGTGAAGAAAACATTAAAAAAGTATTATTTCAATATCCGCACAACTATGCTATAAATAACCCTGGTATACCATCATGGATCAAACTGCACTTTGAATTAAACAAGATAACATAATGAGTGTGATTAATTGTATATAAAAGTAGTTTCTCTCCCCGCCACCCATCCATGAATAGCTTTAAGTGCACCTAAAAGATCTGTGAGTTTCACAGCAGCTCCATTTATTACAGGCTTTTCTTGAAAAATATGTACATTTAAAAGGAAATATCTCTGTCTTAACCCTGTCTGCTACACCTTTTTTACTTCCTGCTGTTGAGTCTTCAGATATGGAAATACAGACGTTCCTTGAATTCTTATTTATTAACAGAAACATTTAATGATGACCTTAAAAACTAAACAGGAAAGGAACATTCCAATCTAAAACAGAAATTATACTCTGAACGTGGTGTGTTTTAGGGTGAATCTGATCTTGACTAAAAGGAGGGGCTGCTCAAACAAAGTGCTAATCACCATAAAAACCTTCAAGTACTACTAAAAAGATCCATGTTGTAACTAAAGCAATGACTTACTGCCCTTTCGATTTTTCTTTCTAAAAACATCTGAAATACACAATTTCCTTTTTAAACTTGGAGGAGCTCAAGTAACATTTGTGTATGTATATGTGTGACTGATAGCATGTAACGTTGGGAGGTAAAGACTGGTGATCAGTAGGACCATACTAATTCTACACCTTGACACCTACACCTACACCTACACACACACACACACACACACACAGAGAGAGAAAGAGAGAGAGAGAGAGAGAGACAGAGAGAGAATCCACTCTATCATTTCATCCACCTACCAATGTAACAGCAAATTATAGCATTATTCCTCCTATTACTATTAATTTGTTTATCGACAAATTAATCCTAAATTAAGTAAATAAATGCAATATATATTGTATAATTCCTTTATTACTCCCCTATTACAACATTGGGTCCAGATTACCCGAAGGACTATCACCCATATCAGTGTTCCCGACTTTTAAGATGTGCTGGTGAGGTCTTTCTCTCAGTTTCATAACCTTTGCAGGCTTGTTTAGCAAGGACACAAGAAAGAACCTTTTCAGTGGCTTTCCTAGGGCTATAGAATGCATTCTTCTAGAAGCCACCCTGGGCTCCTTCCCCCACTTGTCTTTTCACCAGCAGGCAAAGACTGCTTTTAAAGCAGGTTTTTTTCCCTGACTCGGATAAGTTGACACCATTATGGGATGCTGTGTATACTGGATTGGATGGTTATGTTTTTAAATGGTGGTTTTTAATACTGTTATCCATTTAATGGTCTTTTTATAATTATACCCTCCTCTGTTTTTCAGTATGCTAGGTCCCTATTGGTAGAAAGATGGCATAGTATACAGAGTTTGCATTCTGCCTGTACATTCTGGTATTCCCTGGATGAAAACATAACCATTCAGTCCTCTCAACAAGCTGAACATAGCACTTAAATGTACATTTAGCCATTCACTGCTGATAAACTAATGAAGAGATGATCACGATGAAGGAGGAAGGAAATATGTATGTATGTATGTATGTATGTATGTATGTATGTATGTATGTATGTATGTATGTATGTATTTATTTATTTATTTATTTATTTATTTATTTAGACTTATATACCGCCCCATAGCGCTACAAGCACTCTCTGGGCGGTTTACAATTTTTAATTATACAGGCTACACATTGCTCCCCCAGCAAGCTGGGTACTCATTTTTCAAACTCTTCTGGCAACAGATGCTGACGATAAAGTCCTAAAGGACTGTGTTATATACTGGGAATATTAGAACAGTACCTGCAGTTTGATCACTGACTTTTCAAAAAGTTCAGTTTAAGAAAATGGGGAATGGCAGAACTTTTTGTTTTAGCCAACCTTTTTAACAATGTTTAGGGATATGGTGGCGCTGCGGGATAAACCACAGAAGCCTCTGTGCTGCAAGATCAGAAGACTAGCCGTCGTGCGGTCAAATCCACGTGCTGGAGTGAGCTCCCGCCGCTTGTCCCAGCTCCTGCCAACCCAGCAGTTCGAAAGCATGTAAAATGCGAGTAGATAAATAGGTACCACCACGGTGGGAAGGTAATGGCGTTCCATGTCTAGTCGTGCTGGCCATGTGACCACGGAAACTGCCTTTGGACAAACACTGGCTCTATGGCTTGGAAATGGGGATGAGCACCGCGCCCGAGAGTCGGACACGACTGGACTAAATGTCAAGGGGAACCTTTACCTTTAACAATGTTTACTCAAAATAACAAAAACCCATGACTGATTTTCTTAAATAAATGCATCATTTAATATTGTCGACAGAACTGTAAAGACTAGTCTTCCTTCCACACCTCTTTGATCAGCCGTTTGAGTAAATATACATATGGAAAAGCTTGCAAGTGATACAAGACCTTGCTATGGTTTTTTGTTGACTGAGGGAAACCTATAAATATTTGCATAATGTCATTGTTTTGACTGAAGCTTCCTTTAAATGTGTTTCCTTTCCAACAGGAGCATGTGAAAGGTGACCCCTTATCCATTTACATGCCTCTCTGACAATCATGTGACTAGGTTTTACGTCAAACAGTCAATTATGATAAGAGAAACAATATGAACAGCCTAAGCATCGATAACCCATTTCCTGAATCTATTAATTTTTGCTTGAGAATCTACTGAGGTACTCTTTTAGCTTTTGCTTAAAAGTAGAGTATTCTCTATCCTGATAATTTTAAGTCCATCAACTGCATTTGAAATTACCATTTCAGTTTCAATTTTTCACAACTGAAATAAACCATATGAGTAAACTTTATTTATTTATATTTATTTATTTATTTGATTTTTATCCCGCCCATCTGGTATATCATACCACTCTAACCATATTAAAAAGAACTAGTTAATATGTTAAAGAAGCAACTTGATATATTATTTCTTGCTAGAATGGCAACTGTGAAAGGCCAGTCTTCTGCGCAGGAACTGAATGTAATGTGACTGAAAAGCAGTTTACTAGTTTCAAAATACCTCTCATAATCAAAAAGAAAAGGCCAATAAACAGCATCCCTACACATTTCTACTCAAGTGTAATACCTACTGGCCAGAATCCTAGTGCCTTACATGGCTATATACACTATGTTACCTGTTTTGCCCTGCTGGTCATCTCCCCACCCCACCCTCACCTCCCTTAAGGGCCTAGTGACACATCTGACTGCATGACAGAGAAACAGTAAAAGGGGAAAACAGCATGCATGTCTGCCTTTATGTGCACCTTTTTCCTTCATAGGTCATTGAGTTCAATTTGGACTTTCTCCCAAGATTGGACTGCAGCTGACATATGAAAGTGACATGGAAATAACTTAATTCACCAAGTTCAATATCATTATATTAAGTAATGCTAAGTCATCATTAAATGCTTCATTACTGGACCATCAAGAGCATAAAGTAGTCTATAACATTGTTTTTAAAACAATATGTGATTTCTACTTCTCCTTTCTTGATTTCATGTTTTCTCTTTAAAACTATGTGGTCTGAGAAAAACTAAGTATTAATTAACATAAGTTCATGAAACACTTGTTACAACTAGAGCCGTCTGTATGGGCTGACTACAGAAGAAAGATGCTGTTACAAGTTACCAAATGTTCACTTCAACTGTAAAGGCTGTGAACCAGGTTAAATTCATTAGTTCAGCAGGTCTGTTCCTGTTCAGTCATTCCAAAATTCTTCCACAACGATCTGCTTGTTATAGAATCCTTGTGTTTTATAGGGAATTCTGGAATAGGCTCTAGGGTATACAATGGTGCCTCGCTTAACGAGCGCTTCGTTTAACGATGAATTCGCTTAGCGATGACTTTTTCAGAGCATTTTTGCGCTCCGTTTAACGATGTTTCCTATGGGTGATTTTTGCTTAGTGATTTCGGGACCATGCTTCGCATAATGATTAGGTTTTTGGGTCCCCTGTTTCGCTTAACGATGGTTTAAACAGCCTCATGTTTGCTGTTTTTTAAATGTTATAAAATTTAAGTTTACTGTGTAAAATGTTTGAAATCATAAAGTGCACTTAATAGATCCTTTGTTAACCGAATTTGACTTTGTTCTGACTCTTTTTTAATTTGTTGTTGATTTCCCCCCCATTAAGATGCATTGAATGGGTTTCAATGCATTTCAATTGGGGATCCGCGTTTCACTTAGCGATGTTTCCTATGGCGATTTTCGCTTAAGGACGGCAATTTGTTCCTATTGGAAAGGATTATCTGGTTTTCAATGCATTTCAATGGGAAACCGCATTTCGCTTAGCGATGTTTTCCCATAGCGATGATTTTTTTGGAACCAAATAAAATCGTTAAGCGAGGCACCACTGTACTTTCAATCTGTATCAGTTGCCAATGCAAGTGGTTGAGCCCAGCCCTTTTCCAACACAAACTATCCTTCTCAATTATGTACTGTAGGGAAAGACTGATAACAGCTGACCAAACTATATATTACTGTCAATCTTCTTATTATGGAACTCTTAGGCAGATTCTGTGGAACCACAGGGTTGCTGTACTCATCCATTATTTACAACACCAAGATCTGGTAGCAAAATTAAGAACCAGGAGTTTATGCTTATATTTTAATAATAGAGAAGACCTACTCAATGAATTTGAGGCAACAAATCCAGAGTAATAGTAATGAACCCCTCTATGCAAAGGGGAATTACATTTCCTAGCCAAATAATAATCTACGGTCCAGGAACAGGGGATTACAGAAGTGAACACTAAGATGCCTACAAAGTACTATGTGATTCTATTTATTAAACTGTCAATCTAAAACCATATAAAATGAAAGATTCAATAGACTGATGTTCAATAGAATTTGAAAAAAAATCAGAAATTCAAGGCAGCTAGTAACCAACACTGAATGACTGTTGCAGAAAAGGGAATTGCTTAGATTGCGAATTAATATTCTTGACTTTGTATCTACTGTATCAGTATAATAAGCTACATGTATAATACTAATGTTTTTCATTAATATTCCTAGTACATGTACAGGTTAGTACATTCAAAACTATTGGTTATGATGATTCCCAGAACATAGGATACACCTATAATGCTTCCATTAATGAAAACATTCCAGCAACTTTCTATAATAAACTGCTTTATTGAAAATCCTACTGAACTATTATTTTGTACAAAGACTATTTTAAGAAGAATTGTCAAATATATAAGCAACTTACAATTATAGTCATAATTACAATATATATAGCCTATATTATGGTTCTTCTTTGGGAGGGGAGCACTCAAGAATAAATACCTCTCATAATGTAAGAGAATAAATCTCTACAAAGCCCACTCTTGTAAAGCACAGAATGTACCTGTGACAATATTTATTCCAGAGGGGTCAAAGTATATTAAAAAGAATGGTGAATGTTTAAAACACCTCTATGGAACTAAAACCATTGGCTTTCTAATTTAAAATTTCTCTCAGCTAATATAAAGTGATTGATTGTCTTTATTTCATGTACCCCTTGATTTTTCTTTCCATTCATCATAGTCTACTTTAAACCAAATGCATTTAGGACCTGCCACATGAAGAGTAGTCTCTTTTAAATTGTTGTAAAGTAATGAAAGGACATAATAAATCAATCTTATTTCTGCCTTACCAAGGCATAACCTTTACTCTATCCAAGTAATTTAGACAATTTCTGCATGTGTGTTTTCCCCAAGACGATAAAATTGTACAGCATTGTCATTTCCAAGACATTTTAAAGGTGTCAGATCAGTACATCCTCAACCTCCACCAATGCATCAGAAATTGTACATGTGGCTTTTTTCATCATAACCCATAAGATATATGATCTTATTTTTAATGTCCTTTTGCAAAAGCTAACTATTGTATTTCACTGTTTCTATAAGGCTATAGTACCATCTATACCCTAATCATTTATCTGTAAGAACGTAAGAATTGATACACCAAGCTGTTTAACTTCCTATATTTCTAGCAGTGGCCAGCCAAAAAAGTCACTAGCAGGGTACAACAGTGGTATTTTTAGTATTTAATACTCAATAGAAAAATGTATTTGAACAGGGAGGAACCCTCTAACTATCAAGGCTAGCCATCATGCATAGACTTAATTTACAGGAACGTGTTCCATCCTTTTTTCTTTTCTTTTTTGAAGCCATTAAAACATTTATTATTCATTTCAAAATAAGAAAATTTTAAATTACAGATGTATTTTATTCACTGAGCATTTCAGATTTTCTTATCTTCTGCATCATGACAGAGGAGAAAATGTTTCTAGATACATATCTGTATCTTGTAGGATATTTGAATGAGATTTTCACCTTGAAATGATCAGGTTGTATGTGACCATGGATGGGGCTCCCATTCCTCCTTCTTGTTGATGGTTAACACAGCAGATTTTACACGCTCCCTATGCTACTGCTAAAACATATGGTATTTTTAGCTGACATTTGACCATAATACATTTCTACTTATTTCCTTACCCATCGTACAAACACATAAAATAATTTGTGATCTGAATATGAAACTCATTTACATAAACAATCCACTTAAAAGAAGGGAAGACTGTGAAAACTGGACTATTATGCATAAAGTATTCCATAAAGCATGTCCACATCACAAGTTACTCTAGGCGCATGGTGGAGAGGGGAACACAAGGCAAACATGGATCATTGGCTGACTACTTTACCTAAAGTGAGTCTTTCAACTTGTAATAAGTTAAATAGACATTCAAGGTAAATATGGCAATCATGTATTCATGCTCCCATGCTGCATCCATGCTAACTACCAAAGTCTTCAGCTCTGCCCCTTTGTTTTTCTTTTTTTAGGCATCTTTATCTCATTAGACTTATATACTCTTATATATGAAGAGCTGAAAGGGATCATTGAGTCCAGCCCTTGTCAAGGAGGCCCAGTGGGGAACTGAACTCCCAACCTCTGGCTCCACAGCCTGATACCTAAGCCACTGAGCTATCCAGCAGTGCTCGGATAGAGAAAGATACATTTATAGCATTTATTTCATGTACTGATGATACGTCATACATCTAAAACTCAGGGGGAAGTATATCCAGCAAGCACTGGTACTCTAAATTCAGAATTGATAATGATTGGCTGTAAGTATCATTAAATAATTTAGAACTGTCACAGCAATCTTTCTTAAAGTGTACTACTAGTTACAAGAAAACCAAGTATTTTTCTGCTTACAATTCCAAATTCACAAATCTTCCAAAAATGCTGTATAAGAAGGATATTGGTATTTTCTTTAAAAATCCAGAGAGCTACATATTTAAAATGTAGCAAGTACATCCCACATCTCTACCAACTAACAAGCACAGCATCCAGAAATTCACCAAGTTTATTTACAATAGCTACTTATTGGCCAAAATCCTACTGGTGTTTGTGTAAGATTTAGGTAACTTGCCATAGCTAATTGCAGCTAGTGGACAAAATGCCCATATGTGTCTTGGTGACATGCCTGGTCATATGCCCAATTGCACAACTGAGATGTACCCGTGAACTTTGTCATTTACCAGCAACTAGCCACTGCAAATAATGCAAACATTGTACAAACACCAAGAGGATTCCAGGAGTTATTTGGTATTTTCCCATCACTTTACATAAATTATCAGTAAGACCTCACTGGTTTAGACATCATCACTATATTTTCTATGGGTTTCTGTGATTTATATAAAATGAACTTAACTTTCTTCTATGCAATATGGGACTTTTGTAAGTTCCTGATAATGTGTAACTCTAGTGTATTTTTTCAGTTTAGAAAAAGAAATTGTTTGTACCAAATTTACAGCATTAATGAGATGAGAAATTAGATACGGTAACTGAAATGTTGATGACCTTCAAAACTAGGATAGAAAGGGTTTTTGCATCACAGGAAATTAAACTTTACTGAATCAATTTATATAAATATGCAATCATTTTATATGTATATAAAAGGAAGTCTCACTGTTAATCTAATTTAGCAAATTTCAGTTCACACTGTAAGCCTATTAATCTAGAAATGATGGTATTCTGTAATAGAACGTTACTTCTCATTTTGAAAATAAAAATTAAAAATGAGCATACACTTTTAAAAAATCAAATAAGGTTGAGAAGCTCAAGAATCAAAGGACTAAATTCTTAGTGCCGAAACAGAGTACACACACTGAGTGAATGGACTCGTTAAGACTCAGTTATTCATTGGGTCTGTTCTAGCTGGGGCTAACAACTGAATTTAGCTCACTGTCTTTATTGTTTCATTCTGCTTCATTTTTACTAGCACTGTCCATTTATAGAGACATTTACATCCAGCTTTAAATCCTTGTTTCCAGATCCTTTATAAATAGCATAACTGAAAGAGTCACTGAATAAAACCCTTAATATGCCATAACTCTAAGAAACATCACAGTTCTCACTTGGGTTTAACTGAAATACTGAATCTGCTAGAATCTTGTTCTAGTCTACAATGTCAATGACAGCTTGTGTGAAGGAATTTATTTAAATACTTGTCTTAATACCTATGTAAAACTTGCCCACCTGTTGCTGATGTAGAAAGGAAGGGTCTCTTGGACTTAGTCCCACATATCGATTGGCTTGGGAAGTGCCTGAGGCTGTGTAGGCTGATTAAGGAAGAACAAAAGAGGTTGATAAAAATAGAAACCTATCAACTGTCTACCTTGTATAATTCAATTATGAAAGACTGAGTTATGATGCATCAGCTTGGCTATGGGGTATGCCTAAAATCAAATGCCAGTCCCAGCCAGAGTAGACCCATTAAATCAAGGAGATTTACATAAGTATTAACTAACCTTCAGCAAATGGCTCAATGGGTCTCTTCTAGTTTGGACTAGCCTACAACTGCACAATACCTGTTAACTTCAATGGAATGTTAATGCAGGTAGAATTATATTCTTAGAACTAACAAAGTATTTGGAGGATACAAGAATTTTGCCAATTCAGTTTAAGAAATGTTGAAACAGATTCTTATCTCTCTTTCAGTACTGTAGATTAAAGGTGATTAAAGGTTATTCAATGAGATATACAAACAAGAGAAAACTTCAGATCCTCAAAATCTGTAACAGTATAACGAAACAAGATCTGCTACTTTTCCTACTACGATTAAGAAAGTAACTGTTTATTTAAGAGTTGGGCTTAAAATTTTATGAGACATGAAGGTTTTTTGTGTTTTAGGGTTTTTTAAAGAACAATATACTATTCTTATAATAAATCATAGATAAAGATACAATCACTATAAATGAAATACTTGAAATGTTTGTATTCTGTGCATCAGAAGGCTACAGAGCAACTAATTATGCCAAAATCCTGTTGAGAGCTTGTGCAAAAGGTGTAACATCTGGAAGCGAATTGCCATAAATTAAAAAATCTCCATAGAAATTATTAATTCCCCTTCATGTCATGTTTTCAAGTGATCTTTGACTGGCAATGGGAGGACTTTACAGAATGAATGCACAAAAGCTTTGTGTCTGTTTACAGAACATTTTATGTCAAGAATTATATAAATCAAAGTTGGTATAAACTGATTAGCTATCTGGGTGAAAATGGCCAAGAGCAATGAGAATATTCAATTTTCACTAGCTGGTAATTTCTAGTGGCACTGACATTTCTGCAAATATTAATTCATTAGAAAAGATTCTGAAATGATATATTTGTAAAGTATTCTAGATCAACTAATGTGCACTTCTTAGATGTATAACTTAAATCCTTCAGTAAGTTTCAAACAGAATCTAGTGTATCACCTTAGTGGTTAACTTTTAAGATTAAGGAATTATAAATTTAGTGGAAATGATTCATTTTAGAAATATAAATGCTATGAACATTTAAAATGAACGATGTGTAGCTTTCACATAGAAATGGGGTGTAAGTGTGGTATTTATTTCCAAAGAAAACTTTGATAATATAATGTTAGGATACATAAATCATATCCACTTCTCAAAAAAACTGCTATGGGTTGCATGACTAAGTGTATATGTTTAGGATATTTGAAATACTAGTTAAAATATTATTCTCTGAATAATGATTATCTTATGCCATTGCTTGAAAGGAATATACATGAGATATGATGAAAGCACTAATGCTCTGTCCCAACTTAAAATTATTAGAAACTTCTTTATTGCTATTGAAAATATATGTTTTAGAAATGGAAAATTAGAAATTATTAATTATGATCACTTAGGGGATCAACATGATTTAATCATGGGCAAGGAATCATATAATCCTTGTAGGAAGTTGGGAACAATTGCAGGTATCCCTCCAACAACAGAGGAGGCACTGCAGAGGCCCCAGTTGAACAATAGGTCCTACATTGTGGTATCCTATGGCAGGAATTGCATCAACTGAATCTAAAACCTATCAATCCTCAATTTTATAAGTTCCCAGGACTGAAGTACTAACTGACCTGACTCAGGCTGGCATAAGCATTTTTCTTCCTATTGGAACCAAAAGGAAATGAAGCTAGAAATAAATCTATCTCTTCTTACCCAATCTATCTCTTCTTACCCTTTCAGAGCCCAAGTTGGTTGGGCTCTGAAAGGACCTACCTCATTCTCTGCTGCAACCCTACATAGATCTGTCTTCTCATTTACTTCCTCTTTTTTATGCTTCTTTATAGATTTATGTTCCATCTGATTAAAACTGGAGCATTCCAGACTGTTGTATATTAACAGAAATGTTAATATTTTAACCCACATGGACAGACCACTATGGATTTAAGAAGAGCAACCTTCAGAAAAATGTTTAATTTAAACTATTATAGCTTTATGTGGAAAGTGAAATGTAAAAAAAAAAATGAATGTGCAGACTAGCCTCTGTGTTGAGTTCAAATTCCATATAAGCCTTGGGGACTACTGATGTTGGACATTTTCCATTTATTAGACCATATGACAGGCCACTTAATTATAACAACTAGATGGAGATCCCAACATGGCTGGTATAATACTACGTTATTACATCTACAACTCCTTTGAAGGCTATAGGGTAATAATATGGTACTGAACCTAGTGAATGAGTGATGCTAAACTATTTAGGAATTTTAAACTCAGCTCACATGTAGTTAATCCACAAATATTACATGGAACCAATTCTAATGAACTGAGATATTTAAACTAATTGGGGATCACAGGCCAAATATCTTTTGGAACATTATATGCTTCAGGCATGAAAGCTCATTCAAGAATAATTAGCTGTATCTCTATTTCTTTATTTTACTCCCTCCCTCTCTCTCTCTCTCTGGATTCCAGGTGCTGGCAATTTAAAAGGTTCCAGTTTGTGCATGCTTCTCAGAGAAGCATTATGAGAATGTCCATCTTAAAAGAAGAATCAGATTTCATTCCTGGCAGTTGATGCTCATATTAATTTGCTCTTCCCTCCCAAGATTGTGGTTACCATTTCTCAAAACTCACACAGTAACCTGTGTTACAGTAATTAAATAAAAGTAAAAGCCTTGTCATGGGATTTTTAAAATCAATTTTGATTGCCTGGTCAAATAGCAGGAAAAGGCATCTTTATTGGCCTTAATTCGAAATTATGTAAATCTTCTGGTGGACATTTTCTGTTTCCTAGACAAATACTTACTGGTTGCTGTAGGTGAAGTTGCCTCACCTTCAGTGGATGTAGTGATGGGTTTAGTGTCTGTCATGGTCAGGGTCACAGGTCGCATCGCACTGTGATGGGGAGAGGGTGCCAAAACTGGAGTAAAATGGCCAGGCATTTTCCCTACTACTTGACCACTGCTGTTAGGCTACAAAACAAAACCAGAAGAATGGCTTGTAAAATATACACATAGTGCTCAAGAGAGCTATCTATCTACCTTAGGGCTTCTAGGACTGTAGTGTGCCAGTTTGATATGCAGATCTTTCTGCAATTACAGCAGATTTAGTATCCATAGTGCTATTATGGAGCTGAGTTCTCAGTGAGCTTCTTTTTTCCTCTCATGAAGCTCATTTTCTCAACTGCTTATTTATCATACCAGACATATTATCCAAGGTGCTGCTGCTGTTGTTTTTAAAACCAATAGTATAAACTACATTATTCTTTTTGCTTCTGCTACATGCCTTGATAATTTTAATGGACTTATAGAAACAAGATTTCAAGAGTGATCCCTAAGACGGGTCTAGGAAAGTTACAATAACGCTTTAAACTACCGTGGATTCAAAATTAAGCTACACAGATTAAGTTTTATGGACCAACAACTGCTTCTATTCAGACTGCAGAAACTGACCTTATGTAAATATTAGTGTGTTCTTAGTTCTTCAAGAGCAATAACCAAATTCAAGATTACTTTATTATCCATTACTAGCTGAGAACAGAATTGGTATGTTTATGTATCTGCTCAAATTAGTTTGATTAGCATGAATATAAGAGAGGAAGGGGTCATGGAGAAATTAATGTACTAATTTTATACTTACTATTCAATTTAGAGATCTCCAAACAATGCTTGAAAATGCCTAAATTCTATATAGTTCACTGATAAATCCACAGACAAATCAATCAAGCAGAAAAACTTACACAGGTCTTGTACAGATCAAAAACTATAAATGAATACCATGAGTGAACATGAAAGAGGAGATAGCACACAGCATAATCCGTCCATGGGAAAAAGTAACTGTAGAAAACCCAAACACATTTCTGCTAACTACAACAACTAAGCAAAGATGTTATTTATAAATAAATACTTGTACATACACAGGAATGCATGTACACAATTCAGTTGCCTTCTTGTTTTTTGACACAACAAGCCACTTTTCACATTTCAAGTTTCTGCAATCTTTGAAAGACTAGCCACACTGCATATGTTCTGGGTTAAAAGCAGACCATACTTCTGTCTTAATCTGGCTCTTCATATGAATATTTCCCCCAAAAAGCTGTTTTTATTTTACAAATCAACATCAGAAAAATGTCATTCCAACACACAATTTTATATTAAGAGAAACTATGCTACTTGAAGAGGTCCATTCTCTTGTTATATTCCCTTAAGACAAATACATAATGCCTTTCATGAAACATATTAGTTAACACGTGCATTTTCGCCCATGCATATGTAATTTCTAGGTCTTTGCTTTGTTCCAAAAGAGGTGGGGGCCATCTAAACTTTTCATGATATTCATAGCAGTCTTCTGATATCTTACCTATCTAAAGAGGATGAAGGCGAGAGAAAATAAAGGTAAGTGAAGTAATCCTCTATTAATATAATAATAATCCTGTGCTGTCAAGTCAGTTCTGATTTATGGCAACTCTTTTCAGGATTGTCTAAGTAGAGAGTACTCAGAAGTGATTTGCCATTCCCTTCTGGGCCACCCTGGGACTGTGCAGCTTAACTAAGACCAGTGGTCCCCAACCTTGGGCCTCCAGATGTTCTTGAACTGCAACTCCCAGAAGGCTTCACCACCACCTCTGCTGGCCAGGATTTCTGGGAGTTGAAGCCCAAGAACATCTGGAGGCCCAAGGTTGGGGACCACTGCCTAAGACCACATAGGCTGGCTCTACTTGCAGGAAGCACAGTGGGGAATCAAACTTCTAACCCCTGTCTCCGCAGCCAGATACCTAAACTATTGAACTGTATATTAAATGCCAGTGCTGGACAGCTCTACTGAGATGTTTTACATTTTAAACCTGTTTAGGTTGGGTGAGGAGTTTTTTTTCCATGTATTTCATGACTTTTCATCATAATTTAAAAATTACCCCACCTGCCATGAAGGGTTTTTGGGACCAAACAGTTTGAGTGTTCATGTTCACATGCAAATATTCAAGGACCAAACAGAATAATAGAATAATAAAGTTGGAAGGGGCCTATAAGGTTATTGAGTCCAATTTCCCAAATAGTGTGATTACATGACTACAGCCTAAAATAGTGCTGGCTTCCTCTGCCTACATAAGACATTACTGAGACACTGGACATGTTCAGATGTTGAAAAGATCACAAGTGTCATGAATTCTAGCTTACTGTGAATGAACAGCAATGCCCAACCACACTGCTCAAGCGCTCCTGCTCCTATAAGCCAGAGAAGATATATAAACTGTAGACCACCTGTCCATAGTTTATCACAATACACAAATAGAAAATCTGATTTGTCTCTCCACAGGTAAGTCAAAATTAGAAACTATTCTTGCCACTCTGCCTTATCTATACATCAGTTTTTTCACATATACTTGTTGCTTTCTAACCACCAATATGCAAATAAAAGGTAGAAGTATAACTAAAACCAAATGACACATAGTCACGAATACTTTTTTAAAATACCATTTTCATTTGGGAGCAGGATATCAATTTATTTGAATTTACAAAGAAGCAGAAACACAAATACATTTCTGTATACCGACTGCAGAAATTAAGACAAGATACTGTACACATAATGAGATACTGAGTGGTACTAAGGTATAAAGACCCCCAAACCATATTTAATTGGAAGAATAAACATACCTGTTTTATGAAAAAAGCAGAAACATAAATATTTGCATAGTAGCATTTGTGAATCTACAGCGACCAAACAAATAAAAAGTGCTCAGAGCACCAATACCACTGTGAATGAGTCAGACATGTCTTCAGTTTTGTATTCATTTGGTTAGCTGAAGTCACAAACAACACTGGTGGAGAAACTCACATTGTGAGAAATGTTTAAAAAGACACTGGTAATTAATACGGTATATAAACCCTATATGGGGCTCTTCAAGTTCAATTCTCTCTGATGTACTGTATATATCCTAAATATACAATATACATTTTAAATTAATGGGACATATGATTAGGTAAGCATGAACATACACCCCTCCCTCCCAAACGTTATAGGACTGTTGAAGACGATGCTCTTTCCAGGACATAGTCTCATGAATGGTTGCCAATCTGTGCTTGTCCACCATCTTCTATTTTTTTATATTGACCTAATGTGCTAGCTTTATGCTGTCTTTGATTTGATTTACTTTATTATATTTTGTTTTGTTTTGTTATATTATATTACTTGTATAGATTCCATTGTCAACCGCCCTGAATAGTGCTTTGCACTAATTGGGTGGTGAAAGAAGGACAGAAAGAAAGAAGCTGAGTATATCTAAATCCTTTTAAAATTAGTGGAATTTAAGTGCATTAATGTACACTGATAATTCAGTTTAAATGGAATATATAACACTTTTAAGTTGAAACTAGATATTAGAAGAGACAAGAGGCTCTTCCTGCTCCATACTTTGCTTCTTCATACCATTTACAGAAACATAATTTATGGCAGGTCAGGCATGGTGTGACCGGCCAGAATAAGGGAGATACACCACCCACTGTTGTTGCATTACACACTGGATATTTTAAGACATGCTAGTGTACTCTAGTTGATCTCACAAGCTGGAAGCAGTGTCTCAACAAAAAAAAGGATGTTTCATCTAAAGTTTGTACTCATGCCACAGGAAGTCATGAAAATCTCTAAGAACAAACCACAGTTCCTTTATTCCTTTGTTTGTTGGGGATTTGAATACCAACGTGTGAGCTTCTTCCATGTGCAAACATCCTCATATGCTTACTTACCACTGCTTAGTGAAGAAGCCATTAGGAAGCATGCACCTGCCCAAGGCTCATCCAAAAATAAGCCAGGGTTCCTTTAGAGCTCATCACAATGTGCAAAACAGGGGCCTATGTTTAGTAAACATTACTAAATGTCTACTAAAGCATTATCTTCTAGTTCTAACTTAGAAAGGCAGTGCAATGTGGTAGAAAAAGTGCAAGAGATCTGGGTCCAAAGCTCTACTTGGCTATGGAAATTCACTGAGGGATGGCAATGACAATTCTAACCTGAGAATATCTTCCAAATTATCTAGCTTGTGATTTTCTCTGAACTGCTTCTAATTTCTGTAAAACCAAACTTCAGATTAAATATGTGGAGGGGGTAGTGCACCCCTACACATAGTGCACCCCTCTGTGTAGAAAGAACAACATTATAGGGGGAAAAAAGAGAGCCTCCTCCATTTGAGAAAATGACCAAAGATCCAGAATACTGATTTCTCAATGTTCCAGCTTGCAGCGGGAGCATCCATCCATAAAGGTTTTTCTCCTCTTCAGACGGATGCCTCCCACACATGGAAAGGGATCTGGGCAGAGCACTCTCCACCTCCTCCTGTGTGTTTCATTTACTTCAATTTCAAGGACTGGAACAGGACAAGAGTCCTATAAGTGACAAAAGGCATTTTACAAATTCTTAGATCCCAGCCGTGAAAACCTTTGCGAATACTTAGAACAGAAGTTTATATTTGAAATTAGGCCTCTGTACTATGGAAAGTTTTTTTTCCAAAGAAGAGAACTTGAAACCTATTTTAGTAGTGCTTATGCTTGTAGGATAGTAACGCTAGTTGCTACTTCAATTATTAATCAGATTACTTACTACTTTAGTAATCATCTGTACCATTCAAGGCTGGTTTACCACTACACATTAGGACATATTAAGCACAGATTACCAGAAACAAAAATCATTTACTGCAACATGGTATTTAATAATCAGGCAAACTTAGCTTTAGTGACCTGTAGCATATTCCAAAAAAGTAGACCATATAAAAATGCAAGTACCATTTTTTTTGAACCAAGTAATCTGTACTACTGGTAATGTATATACGTAGTTAACAAAACTTCAGGGCCGGAAAGCTATGTAGACAAAGAATCAGAGAAATCACATGAACACAAACATAGTTATTTTGATGTTTTGTGGCTAGATTAGAAGGCAATTAAGAAACAACTTCTTCTTCACCTATTTCAGTGGCTGCAAGCAT